GCCCCCGTCGCCGCCCTTGAGCTCGCCGAAGTCGTAGAGGCTCCGCAGCGCCGACATGTCGTAGGCTTCGGTGTCCTGCTCGCCGCCGCCTTCGTCGTTGTATTTGATGACGTTGTCCCGCATGTCCTCATCCTCGTCCGAGCTCAGGTGGCTCTTGTGGTGGCGCCTGAGGGTGAGGATCAGCAGCACCAGCACTGCCAGGGGGACAGAGGGGGCGACTGAGGGCCAAGCCCCGCCCACGGCGTTAGGAGGACCCTCTACCCCATCTCCTCCCGCTTCCCGCCAGCAGAGTGGGCCCAGTCTCAACGTTCCTACAGATTTCCTGGATTTCTGTTCAAAAAGCCATTCTTACAATCAAAACTGAGCTGAGTGTCTGGAGAGGTAGTGAGCCACCCATCTCGGGAGGTATGCAAATCGAGGCTAGATTACTCTGGGGTGGAGGTGGCCAATGGGAGAGCAGTGTTAAAGGTTTTCCCGGGCCTTGAGGCCTGAGGTCTCCCTTCTCAGCTCTATGAAGAGATATATTCTCTGAGGACTCTAGGTGCTGGGGGTGTGTAGCAGGCAGCTGAGAAACAGACGGAACTGGGGGAGTGAAAGATGTCCTTCACCCTGACCTCTCTTTCACCCTCACCCTCCTCTGCCACACGAGAAGTCTTGAGCTCCTACTCAGCCCTTTGGTTCTCCTGCAGGTCAAGGCCTGCAGGAACCCTTCCCTGAGAGCTGCAGGCCAGGTTCCGTGCCTTCCCCTCCAAGATTCCCCAGGACGGGGCTCCTTCCTCTATCATACTGTTTCTCAAAGTGCAGCCCCTGGGCAACAGCAGCATCCCCTTGGAAGCTTGTTAGAAATGCAGACCCTTGGATCCTGGCACGGATCTTGTGGCAGTGGAGGGGGATCTGTGTTTTAACAAGACCTGCAAACATGAAGAGGCAGCTCAAGTTTGAAAGCCACAGCTCTGTCATAGACCAGACCCTGCTGTGTTACCATGTCTGCCTCCTCCCCAAAACACACACCCTAAGCTACCGTTGAGGACCTGGGAAATGTTCCTCTATCTTGGTGGCTGGCATGCAGTGAGCACCTGAACCATGCTTGTTGAGTGAATGAATGACTGAAGGAAGAGCTGGATGGAGGACACGGGTAAGTGAATGAAGGCTTGTCCCCTCTTGGCTTTCTTCACTTGATTTCCAAGACTCCACATTCTCCTCCTCCTCCTCCAACTTCACTGATCACTCATTCTCAATCTTCTAAGCAGGCTTCTCCTCGCCTACCTTAACTCAGATGTCCTAGGATTCAGACCTCAGTTCTGTATCCATGCTCCCTCTCTTGGAGCTCTCCTTTGGTCTCAACGGCTTTAAAAGTTCCATTTAGAAACTGACAATTCCCATATCTCAGCCTCCAGCCTGAACCTCTCCCCCGAAATCTAGATTGTACATTCAGTTTCCTACTCAACATGTCCTCTTGTTGACCAAGCGAATCTCAAACTTAACAGGTCCAAAGGTGGAATACTAATCTTTCCCCCTTCCCCACCCCGAGTCTCCCCCATCTCAGTGTTAGCAACCCCGACTTTTCAATTACTCAGGGCTTTTAAGTCTCTTTTGCTGACTGCTAAATCTCAGTGTCTAGCACATGGGAGGGACTCACTGGATGGATGTATAGGTAAATGATGGTGGGTGGATGGACAGACAGATGGACAGACATGTACCAGGTACTGTGCTGGGCACTGGACTCTTGTTGCTCCTCCAAACAGCTCCAGTGGCCAGGGCTGGCTGTGAGGGCTATGGGGCAGGGCACCTGCTCACCACCTAACAAGGTGGCCTGTGACAGGGAAGAGCATGAGAGCTGGGGACAGGCCTGGAGGGAGGGCACAGGGAAGGAAGGTGTCAGGAGAGAAGTGGGAAAGATGGATGGATGGCTTTCAGAGCCGAGGCTGGGAGCTATGGAGGGGGATGCCCACGGGAGCAGATGGTGAGGTTTGCGGGCGGCGGGCGACAGATGTGCCAGGCCTGATCAGCGATTCCGCCCGTCACCTTTAGAGCACTGATGTGCACTGTCTTCGTTTGTGGGCAATTAGGCAGAAATTTGTTTGCACTGCCTCGGAAAATGAAACTGCTGTAAAGTGCACCCTCTGGAAAAAGGGTTTCTGAGCCATGGGCTGGGGTGGGGGGAGAAGGGGGGCTTCCCAATTAGGAGAAGCCTGCCCAGGGCCTCTGCTGGGACCTGAGGAGGTACAGCCTGGCCTTGGGCAGGTCCTCAGAGGGTGGACAGAGGCCATGCCAGTGCTCGGCAGCGAGGGCATGGGGAGGCAGCTGACATCTCCCAGGGAGCACAGCAAGGCTAGAATCTGCGCTTGGACCTCCCTTGAGCTCCCCTAGCTTTGGCCTCAGTGCCCTTCTGTACTTGGGTGGCTACAGCTGTGAAAGGTGGCATATGGCCACTCAAATCCAGGTTAGCTTCTGAAACTTGACCTCTTCATTGGGGACACTTTGGGGTTCAAATGGCTGCTAGTGGGCTGGAACCAGTGTAGACTTTGCCCCCCTCCCCACCACCAATGACTTGAGATTTTGCTCTCAGTTTAGATTAATAGCAGGTGGTGTAGTTAGAGGAGTAGAGGACACAGGGTGAGAAGACGTAATATCAAATCCGAAGACTATCCGGTACCCTTACACCAGCCACCTAACCTCTCTGACCCTCAGCGCTTTCATCTGAAAAATGGGATAATATATGCCTGGCCATGTGGTTGTGAGGTTCACAAGAGCCCTTCTTACTAAAAGTCCTACATAGAGACTAAAAAGGGACCATTCACATAAGAGAATTAAAAAAAAATATGCTAGGGTGAGGTTTAGGCTGTGTAGGGGGTGGGCCACAGTGAGCTCATCCCTGGAGTTGGTGGCGGGGCTGCTCTGCACTTAGAAGACTCCTCATGGGGGCTGCATGTTAGAGCTTGGAGATCGTTTGGCCAGCCCATCCTCATGTGGACAGGGAAGCTGAGGCCCCATGGGGGCTGGTTAGGAAGGAAACCCAGGACCCCAGGATGGGGGTCAATCAGGCAGGGCTGGGTGGCTCTCGATGGACTCACCGACCAGTATGAGAACGCAGACCAAGAGGGCAATGAGGGCGCCGGGGCTGAGGGAGGCGGCCATGACAAAGGCCGTGGTGTTGCAGGATTGGATGGTGCCGGAGCTGTCGCAGCCACAGATGCGGATGGTGAGTGTGCCCGTGCTGCTCAGCGTGGGTGGCCCGCTGTCCACTACCAGGATGGGCAGGAAGAACACGTCCTGCTCCTGCCGGTTGAAGCCCACGTGCTGCGTGTGCACTGCAGCGGTGTTGTCTGTTCCAGAAGAAGGGGGTGCGGTGTGACTTGGAGCCGGGGGTCAGCATCCTTGTCCTAGCCACCTCTTGATTGCACTGTGAGATTTACCTCCCTATGCCCCAAACTACATCTCCCAGTGGAATCATGAGTCTCTTCTCTGGTCTCCCAAAATTCTGTTACAAGGTGCCTCCAAATTCTGCCCCATGCTGTCCAAAGATTCTGTCCCCCAAAGTCTGCCCTCAGCTGCCCAAAGATCCTGTCCCCATGTAGCCCACAATTCTGTCCTCAACCATCCCAAGATTCTGTTTTCAGCTATCCTAAGATTTTGTCCTCAGCTGTGCCAAGGTCCCCAGCTATTCTAAGATTCTGTCCCCAGCTAGGCCAAGGTCCTGTCCCGGCTATGTCTTTTTTTTTTTTTTTTTCATATTGTCTCAATAGTTTGTTTTTGCTCTAGATTCCACCCCAGCTTCCCAGTGTATTCTGACCCTAGGAGTCCTATAGGGTCCTTGGGTTGTGGTTTGTTGGGCCCTGACAAGTCCTGGGTCATCAGAAGGGACCAGGTCACCAGAAGGCAGAAGGCCAGCCAGCATCTGCCTTTGGCTGTGGGATCTTTCTGTCTTTCATACCCCAAGGCTAGTTGAGAGTCCTGGAGCCTGACAAGGAGTCTCTGCCTAAGAGGCTGAGCCTAGAGGGCTGGGGGCGTGGTGAGGGGCCTGATGAGGGGCCCTGGAGTGTCGAGGTCTTCTTCTTCACATCTTTCTTTTTCACACAGGCGGCCAGAGAGGACAGTGAACAAATACAAATGGAACTCATGGCACTAGTTCAGCCTGTCACTGGGGAAGCCAGGCAGGATGCAGGGGGATGGTGGCTGGCCTTGGATCACAGGCTGAGGTGACAGGTGGCACCCCCTTCTCCGCCCTTCCTGCCTTCTTCACACCTGTTCTGTAGGAGTCAGGCCACCTGACCCTCTGTCATTTTGATGGCCCCTCTCAGTTCTGCACACGCAGGGGGACGAAGTGCCCAGAGCTCTGAAGGCTGCTGCCCCGCCCTTCACAGCCAACTCTGCCAAAGGGGGCCCTGCCTTCCTGCTGGGGACCTTCAGTCCTCCTTCTCCCTGCGGTCTTCAGTCTGCTCTTTCTAATCTGAGAGCCAGATCTGGGAGATCTGTTGGCAGCCTGGGTTCCTTGCCCTGCTTCGTGGCCCCAGTTAACCCAGCCCCTTCCCCAGACGCCCCCAATTCAGCACCCTAGATCTGGCCTTTCTCATCACGGATGCTATGCAGCAGAAGGAGCCCTGGGAAGGTCTGACTTGTGGCCTTTGGCACATCTCAGAAGTGGACTGCAGGTCCAGATGCAGCGCAACTGGCCATGAGTTGGAAGCTGCCCACGAGGTGCCGGGAACATGAGGGTTCATGCCATTAGCCTATCTCCTTTTACATATATTTGAGAATTTCCATTAAAATGTTGAAAAACAATGCAAGTCTATCATTTACTAGCTGGGGAAACCCACTGAGCTTCTCTAAGCTTCAGTTTACCCGTCTGTAAACTCAGAAAGGGTATCATGCAGGTGTGAGGATTAAATGGTGTAATTCACACATAACGCTTAGAAAAGTTCCCAGCCCATAGAAGGGCTCAATAATGCTGGTTAATATTTTTTCAGATCCCGCCCCCATCTTCCCTGTGCTGCACCCACTGCTGGCTCCCTGTCTAGGCCGCCCTGCCTTTGCTCATAAAGTTCCCGCTATCTGGAACACCCTTTTCACCTTCTTGCCTGGGCAAATTCCTCATCCGTCATGCTCCAGCTAAATGTCACCTCCTTTCTTGTGGCCTCCTTTCTCCGCTTCCCTGGGAAGGAAGGATTTATGGTTCCCCCTCTCCCTGCTCTGACTACGCAGGTGCCATGCACAGTTCTGTTACAGCACTTGTCACATTGTGTTAAGTTAGTGTGTGCCTGTTTCTCCACTGCATGGCCAGCCAGGGCTGGCACGGAGCCAGTCTTGAAGAGCAATCCTTGAATGAACCACAGCTTTTGGGAGAACTAGTGGTCTCCGGTCAGCCCCTCAGGTCCCTGCTGCCACCCCATCCCCGGAGCTTACATGGGGTGGTCACACTGGATGGCAGCTCTGGTGGCCACCTCAGCCAAACAGAAGCAATTAAGGCAGAATTGCAGGCCCCTTGGGTTGGAAAGCCTTGGGAACTTGGCAAAGTTGAGTCAAGTTCGACAGTTCAAACTGGCTACACTCAGGCTTGAACTCTAGCTCTCCCACCAAAGGGTGCGTCAACCCCAGCTGGGAAAAATCTGCCTTCTGCAGGGGAAGAAAGGGGGCTGGAGGGCAAGATGGGAGAAAGAGGGAATGGCATGGGACCCATTTGCGCTGAATGGATATTTTTTATGCATCAAGGACTGTCTGCATATTTGAAATACATAGTAATGTTTAATCCTCACAACCTATTAAGAGTTGTGGTATTATTCCCATTTTGTATATATGGAAATTGTGGCTCAGAGACAAGTGACTTGTCTGAATTTTTCCACTGAAAGCACTCTTCCTTCCTTCCATTCATCCAACAAATCTTTTTTTTCTTTTCTTGAGACAGGGTCTCACTCTGTCACCCAGGCTGGAGTGCAGTGGTGTGACCTCAGCTCACTGTGACCTTGGCCTCCCAGGCTCAAGCAATCCTTCCACCTTAGCTTCCTGAGGAACTAGGGCTACAGGTGTGCACCACCATGCTCAGCTAATTTTTTTTAAAATTTTTAAAGTTTTTTTTGTGTGTGTATGTGTACAGATGAGGTCTCATTATATTGTCTAGGCTGGTCTCGAACTCCTGGACTCCTCTTGCCTCAACCTCCCAAAGTGGTGGGATTACAGGCATGAGCCACCATGCCTGGCCTCCATCCAACAAATCTTTATTAATTACTATGTGCTAGGTACCACTCTAGTCACTGAGAAAACAATAGAGAGCTAAGCCAGCTCACTGCTGGTCCTGGATCAGAGCTCATATTTTCATGTGAGAAACAATGCTAATCAAACAAACCCACAACTTAGTTAACAATTATAAACCATGGTGAGTGCTGTGAAGGACGAATATAGGAAGAGCACATGACAGAGGACCTGAGCCAGTCTAGGAGTTCGGGGAGAGCTTCTTGGAAGAAGTGATATGATTTCTGAGCCCGAACAATGAGTTTAGGGAGAGGGAACAGCGCATGCAAAGGTCCTGAGGCTGGAAGAAGCATAATACACTCAGGGACCTGGGACACTGAGAGGACACTCAGTCCTCTGTGGCTGGAGGAATGAGGGTAATAGCTACAATGAGTCAAGACGAGGCTGGAGGAGGAGGCAGGCGCTCATTGTGGAAAGCCTGGGAAGCTGTGGTAAGGAATGTGGGTCATTTTCCCTCCCTCCCTCCCTTCCTTCTTTTCTTTCTTCCTTTCACAGAATCTTGCTCTGTCACCCAAATTGGAGTGCAGTGGCGCAATGTTGGCTCAGAGCAACCTCCGCCTCCTGGTTCAAGCAATTCTCCTGCCTCAGCCTCCTGAGGAGCTGGGATTACAGGCGTCTGCCATCACGCCTGGCTAATTTTTGTACTTTTTAGTAGAGACAGGGTTTCATGATGTTGGCCAGGCTGGTCTCGAACTCTTGGCCTCAAGTGATCTGCCTGCCTCAGCCTCCCAAAGTGCTGGGATTACAGGCATGAGCCACCACTCCTGGCCAGAATCTGGATAATTTTCTTAAATGCAACAGGAAGCCATTGGTTGGTGGGCTTTAAGCAAAGAAGTGACCTAGTGACAAACCCATTCATTCAACAGCAAGTAGGAATTGAGCACCATCTGTCTGTCAGGACTATTCTATCTGTCCTCCCTGGGGATACTGCAATGGACAGGATGGATGCGGTCCCTGTCTTTGCTGGGCCTGTGTTCTAGTTGAAGGAGCTTATCATCTAAAATGCAGGAGTCAATGTGGAAGAACAGCCACGAAGCTCTCGCGTGTTTTAGGTGTGAGATAATAGTAGTAGTGGAGGCACAGAGAAGTAGGCAGATTTGAGAAATGAGTGGCTGGCTCTGGCTCAGCCTCAGATTGCCAAGCAAGAACAGGGATGTTTGTCTCTCAGGGTTGCTGTCTCGGGCCATGGGACCATATGTTCTGGGAACTCGGGTCCCCACCACTCCTCCACCCCATGAAGGGGAATCCCCAGGCATCATCCCTGAATGCATCAAGTTGCCCTCCTGGGCAGCAGCTGGCTTCAGCTGGGGAAGCCGCTGGCCACCCCAGCCCCCTACCCCACCCTTCTAGGTGGGATCTGTGCCCAGCGCTGCATCCATCCATCTGGCCTGACATACATCAGTGTCAATCCCTGGCTGCAAAGGCAATATTTATAAATCACGTTTCCAAACTGGCTACACATTTGTACAAAGAAACAGATGGGTTGGGGTAGCCGTTTGTCACCTAAGATATTTATACAGTGAGGAGGAGGGGGCTTGGCAAGTAGTGAGAAGGGGCTGAGGGACTGGAGGAGGAGGCCTTCCACGGCTGCTATGACCTCAGCGTGCTGCTGCCACCCAGTCCCCGGAGCTTACACCAGGTGGCACTCTGGATGGCAGTTCTGGTGCCCCCACCCTCCCCCCACAGCTAAACAAAAGCAATTGAGGCAGAATCTCGGGCCCCTTGGATTGTAAAGCCTGGTGAACTTGGTAGAGTTGAGCCAAGGCTAGCTGTGTTTCCTGTGACCAGCTCGAGATACTACTGGAATAATGAGTAGGCAGGGCTGTACTCGTTGTTAAAATATTGAAATACTTCCAAAAAAGGTTTAAATAGCTGTTGACACTGAGCCCCCCAAGTCCCTCCCTGCTGCCTCAACCTTTTCCCCAGGCAGCCTCCCAACTTTGACACAATCAAGCCACGAAGGAGTTAATGCCTGGCATGGCAGGGTTTCTAGGGTCCTGCTCCAGGCTATGGTCAGCGTCCTTTCTGATTGGCCATCTGAGCTGCACTGGTTGTTACATCTGTTTATTATTTTTCATTATTTATTTTTAATTATTGATTGACTGAGACAAGGTCTCACTCTGTCTCCCAGGCTGGAGTGCAGTGGTGCGATCATGGCTCAATGGAGCCTCAAACTCCTAGGCTCAAGTGATTCTCCTGCCTCAGCCTCCTGAGTAGCTGGGACTACAGGTGTGCACCACCACACCCAGCTAATTATTATTATTTTTTTAAAGGATGGGTTTTCACTGTATTGCCCAGGCTATTCTGAAACTCCTGGTCTCAAGGGATCCTCCTGCCTTGGCCTCCCAGAGTGCTGGGGTTATAAGCATGAGCCTTACATGTTTTTAACAGGACTCCCAGGGGTACAGACGGGTCTGGCTTCAGAGACCACTAAGGCCTCTCACATTGGGTGTGAGTGTGTAAAGGCCTTGAAAAGGATCCCAGACCTATTCCAAGGCCAGAAGGAAACCACATGATCTGGTTTGCTGACCACATCTCCTCCCAGTCCTGTCTCTTACTCACTCTAATCACTCAGGTCTCTTCCATTCCTAATTCACCCCAGTCCTGCTCACCACGGGGCCTTGCTGTTTCTACCACTGGGGTGGTCGTTTTCTCTCATACCCTTTAGGTCCCTTCTCACTATGGATCCCCTTGGAGAGGCCTTCCCAGGCCACCCTGTTTAAGAAGATAGCTTCTCCTCTTACCCTGCTTTCCTTTTTTTATTTTTTTGGAAGTGGAGTGTTGCTCTTGTTGCCCAGGCTGGAGGGCAATGGTGCCATCTCACCTCACTGTAACCTCCGCCTCCTGGGTTCAAGCAATTCTCCTGCCTCAGCCTCTGGAGTAGCTGGGATTACAGGCGTGCACCACCACGCCCTGCTGATTTTTGTATTTTTAGTGAAGACGGAGTTTCACCACGTTGGCCGAGCTGGTCTCGAACTTCTGTCCTCAAGTAATCTGCCCACTTCAGCCTCCCAAAGTGTTGAGATTATGGGTGTGAGCCAACATGCCTGGTCCCTGCTTTACTTTTCACTGTTTCATTGAACACATTTTATCAAACACCTGCTATGTGCCAAGCACTGCTCCAGGCACCCAGGGTTGAAGAAAGACAAGTCCAGACCCTTGTGGAGACTGCATTATTCCTCCACCCCAGCCACTTGTCACCCCCAACACACTTTTTCATTTGTGTAATTTCTGTCTCACCTCACTAGAATAAAACTACGTTTTGTTGTGTTTGCTATTGCGTTTCCAGGACCCAGAGCAGACCCTGACACAGAGGCTTTGTGTCTCAATAAACGCTCAATACATAATTGCTGGACGTAGGAATTGATATTTCTAGGTATTAACACTATATCTCAGTGGCCCTTATTTTACTGGGGCCACCTAGCCACCCGGGACAGTAGGCATCTTCCCTATTTTAGACAATGAAACTGAGGCTTAGAGAGGAACAGGTGTCCCAGCAGTTTGGGAGGTGGGTGGATCACCTGAGGTCAGGAGTTCGAGACCAGTCTGGCCAACTTGAGGAAACCTTGTCTCTACTAAAAATACAAAAATTAGCCAGGAGTGGTGGTGCACTCCTGTAACCCCAGCTACTTGGGAGGCTGAGGCAGGAGAATCTCTTGGCCCTGGGAGATGGAGGTTGCAGTGAGCTGAGATTGCACCACTGCACTCCAGCCTGGGCAACAGAATGAGATGCTGTCTCAAACAAACAAACAAAACACACACACACATACACACACAAAACAACAACCACCACAAAAAACTAGAGAGGAACAGGAGCTTGCCAGGGTGGTATAGCGCACCCTTTGCTAAGCCTGGTCCCTTATTTCCAGTTTGGTGACTACTCTCTTCCCCTCAGTCTATTCCTTAAAGGTTCAAACTTCAACATCATGAGGAACTTGTGAGAGCCAGAGGGGAGGAATCTCACAGTGGACTCAGGCAGGTCAGGGCAGCTTGCTTTCCCGGTGGTGCGCTAAGGCAGGAAGCACACTGGACTGGCGATGGGGGTGGGTTGAATCCTACCCACACCACTGACTCCCTATATGACCCTGGGCAGGGCTCTTTCTCTCTTACAGTCTCAGTTTCATCACCTGTAAAATGGGGAGAGGAGTCAGAAAACTACCTCACAAGATGGCTGTGAGGATGCAGAAAGAAATGTGAGTCTGGCGTGGTGTCTCATGCCTGTAATCCCAGCTCTTTGGGAGGCCAAGGTAGGAGGATCGTTTGAGCCCAGGAGCTGGATACCAGCCTGGGCAACACAGCAAGACCCCATTTCTACAAAAAACAAAAAAAAAATTAGCCAGGGGTGATGGTGTGCACCTGTAGTGCCAGCTACTCGGGAGGCTGACGCAGGACTGCTTGAGCCTAGGAATTCAAGGCCGCAGTGAGCTATGATTGCACCACTGCACTGCTGCCTGGGTGACAAAGTGAGACCTTGTTTCAAGAACAATTCCAAAAACCAAAGAGGGAATGTGAGTGGAACAAAGCAGTTTTTAAACTGCAGGGTGGGCTGGGCACAGTGGCTCACACGTGTAATCCCAGCAGTTTGGGAGGCCGAGGCAGGCCGATAGCTTGAGCCTGGGAGGTCAAGACTAGTCTAGGCAATATGGCAAAAATCCCGTCTCGACAAAAAATACGAAAATTAGCTGGGCATGGTGGCACACATCTATAGTCCCAGCTACTTGGGAGGCTGAGGTAGGAGGATTGCTTGTGCCTGGAAGGTGGAGGTTGCAACGAGCCACTGCACTCCAGCCTGACTGACAGAGAGACACCCTGTCAAAAAAAAAAAAAAAAAAAAAATCAAATAAAAAACCAGAAACCTGCAGGGTAGGCAGTGTGTGCACGTGGCTTACTTCAGTCTTCACTCAGAACGGGGGCTCTTTCCACCCTGGACTCTGGCACAACCATTCCTCATTTATTCCCTGTCTATATCTTCCCATCTGCCATTTCTTATCCTTGGGACGCCCTCCTCCACTCCACCAACCCACACCCTGCTTGCGTTTGGCCAGTGGGCTGGGTAACAGCTCCAGCTTGGCCCAGACTTTCCATATGATCTTAGATCCAACATAGGCCCTGTGGGCGCCTCCGTCCCTCTGTCTATAATATGGGAACAGGGCAGAGAGACTGTGCCTCTCCCTTCTTGCATCCTAGGGTTTGGAGGCTCACCTTGGATGTCAAGCAGAGAGAAATGAGGGTTGCTGGGAGCTTCAGGCACCAGGCGGAAATAGAAGCGGTGCCCGCCTTGGGGCTCGTCTCTGTCCACCACGCTGATGGTCTGGATGAGCTGAAGGGTGAGGAGGGGATAGGGGGCTAGTGGTGAGGCTGAGACCACTCTGGGTCCAGGCAGAGGGTGCTGCTGGCCAGTCCTGGAAGCAATCCCCAGTCCCCAGCCCCTCAGGGGTACCTGGCCTGGCTTGGCATCCTCGCATACAGCTGCCTCGTAGGGTGTGGCCAGTTCTGGGGGATTGTCGTTCACATCCAGGATTCGGATCCTTAGGGATGCCCGGGAGAGCTGGGCATGATTGTCTGTAATGAGAGCACAGGAGCGGGGGAGAGGCAGCAAGTGTGAGATCTAGATAGCCTCCTCTCTACTACAAGGACAACAGTAGGCAGTGGGGTCATGCTGAGAGATTTGTGGGTTAACCAAGCTGGTACAAGGACCAGAACTGGCAACATTTGGGCATAAGTTGAGTAATCATCGCTGTAACCATCACCACCATTACCATCAGCTTTGGCACCAGTGGCATTATCACTACAACCCTCACCACCACAATCACCAGTAGCACCCACTGCCATCACCAACACCGTCACCACTGTTAGCATCAACACCACCATCACCATCTCCACCATGGCCACCTTTGCCATCACCACCGCTATTACTATTACCATTGTCATCATTAAGCCATTACCAATACCACTATTTGCATTATTATCAGTGCGTCTACCAACATAACTATCAGTACCACCATCACCATTCTTACACTGTTACCATCACCACTGCCATCACCACCACCACCATCAGGTCATCACCATCACTACCATCACTACCATCACCATTAGAATGAACCACATCCTCTAGTACTACACTCATCATCTCTACCATAAATAATACTAAAGCCATCACCATTACCACCCTCACCACCACCACCAACCCCAGCACCATCACCAATACCACCTTCACCATCATCATCACCAATACCACCACCATCTCTTCCATAGTCACCACAACCACCACCACCAGCCCACCTATTACTACTATTACCCCATCATAATCACCAATATCACCATCACATCCCTGATCCCCAACAATGCTGCCATCACCACTGCCACCCCTCCCCTCACCACAGAGCACACAGCATGCACCTGGAGCATCTACATTCATTATTTTAAGTATCCTTGCAGAAATCCTGTGGTTTGGTACAATTTCTATCCCCATATTGCAAAGGAGAAACTAAAACATGGGACGCTTTCTAGACGTGGGTCAGGGGCAACTAAACTCCAAGACCTCTGCCTTCTCAAGACCTGATCCTAAACGGGCCAGACAAGTCCAGGGAGGAAAATCTTGGCCAGCAAAACCATGAAGTCCCCACCCCTCCAAGTTGGGATGTCTTCAAGGTCATGGTCCCTGTCTTATTTATCTCTGGGCTACCAGCATTGTGGGATATGGTACAGGTAAATTCTAACATATTAATATTTGCTGAATGAATGAATGAATGAATGAATGAAGCCTGGAAAGACTGAGACAGCAGGAGGCTTGAATTCCAGGCATGGCTGTGTCCCTGACCCAGTATTTGGTCTTGGGTAAGATCCTGCCTTCTCTGACATCAGTTTCCACACCTGGAAAATAAACAGAGCATAGTGATTACGAGCAATGCTGGGTAGTTCTGATTCCAGCTCTGTGGCTACATGTCTGTGTAATCCGAGCCATGTCACGTGACCTCCCTGTGCCTCAATTTTCTCACCTGCAAAATGGGTCCAATATTGACCCACTTATGCCTAGCGTTCCATTATTGGAATGCTAAGCATGTGAGAGTTATTTATATCTTAGGTCATCGCCAAGGTCTGATTGCAAAAATTCAAAAAATTACAACCTCAGGCACAAACGGGTTAATAGGTAGGTGAAGAGACAGATTGAGTTAATATCTGCAGGGCATTTAAAACTGTGTGTACTACACATAGCAAGTGCTATATAAGCATTTGTAAATAAACAGACATCCTCGCAGGGTCCTATTAGCAATGACATTAAATAATTCTAGGATGTGGAATACTTTATCCCAGCCTGTCCTGTCTGAGCAGTGCCCTGAGTGTTGGTGCTTTCTAAGCCCTCACCAGCCCAGACCTCTGAGTGCTCTCTGGTGCCCCATCCTCTGCTATCTTGGTTACATATTCATTACTGACATGTTCATTACTGACATGTTCTACCTGCCAGTGACCTCAGGAACATCTCCTGGAGGAGGAAACCACACCTCACTTCCAAGCAGTGACTTGGAAGATGTGGCTTTCTGGCTGGGCTGGCAGGGAGCTCTTTTAGGGGCAGCCTGAAAGCTTCCAGGTATCCAGGCTCCCCATGAGTTTCGCGGGGAGTGGAACTGGTCGGCTGCCTCCTGCTGTGAACTCAGGATCCACTGTGTGCTGATGGCAGCTGCTCACGTGTTGATAAAGAGAGAAATAGAGATAAGAAGGCAGGTACAGCCACCTCCTGCGGGGGGCAGTCAGGAAAAGGAGGGGGCTGAGTTCTTAATTAACTCAGACCCTGGCTTCTCTCTGGAGTTCCCGTTAGCCAGGGGCACATTATCTTCTAAGCTCACCAGATCTGCCATTCTAGTGATTACAGGGGGCTTTTCCGGGGTGAGAGATGGGAGTCGTGACTGGGGATGCCGGGTGAACCGTTATTTTTAAGAGTGCGTTGCCGGCGAATTTCAACAGACAGACGGTGGGTGCTTTTGGGAAGAAGGGGGCGAGGCCCACAGCCAGGAACAGGCGCCTCTCTCCCAGCAGAGGCAGGGGAGAGTAGAGGGGGCGGCCAGGGCACTTTCCCTCTGCAGTGGAGGGTGGTGGGGGTATATGGGCTGGAGGGAGAGACAGGGTCCTATGGGCCATGTCGAAGGTAGAGCAGGATGGACTGCTGAGTGGGTGATCCCCTCCTAGATCCTCATTGCGGATGAGACCCCCATTATAGCACCTTTGCTTTGGCTCGGCTTCTCTTACCTCTTCTTTTAAAATGTCATAGGTCACCTTGTGAGAAAGCCCTAATGCCCTTGGCATGAGTTAGAGTCTCAGACCTAAGCGGCGGGGCAGCTGAGTGACCTCTAAATTGCCAAAGTTGCCAGCTGTATTTTCTTTTCTAGGAATTCCTGAATTTAGGGCTGGCCTGGGATCCCAGAGCTCATGGACTGCCCAAGGTCAGCACTCATTGCCACTGCCATTGCCATTGTGGCAGTGGGTCTCCAGCACGGCTGTACGTTACAATCACCTGGGAAGCCTTTAGAAAACACCGATGGCCAAGGCTTGGTCATTTATTTATTTATTTATTTTAACAGCTTCAGAGGATCAGCCTGTAGCAAGGTTTGCAAACCACTACCCTATGGTGACTGGGAGGTGGGGGGATCCAGCCTGACTGCCTTCCTCCAAATCCCTCCTATCACAATTAGAATCATTTGTAAGAATGGAAAATAATCCTATTTTTTTGCCACCTTAAATGTTTCTGGGATAAAACACGGAATCTGTTTATTAATCTTCACCTCTGTGTAGGATTTTCCAATTGATAACACTCTCTTATTATGACCTCATGTGATCCTTGAAATAACCCTTGAAGAAGGCCTTGTTAAACCCACTTTCTGGATGAGGAAACAGAGGTCCATGGAGGGGCAGGATTTTCCCCACAGCCCTAGGGGAGTCAGCAGCAGACCTGGGGTTGGGTCCGAAGCTTCACAACTCCAAGTTCAGTGCTTGGTCCTGATACAATATCAGGGTCCCTCCTGCTGCCTGGGCATTTGTCCATTCAGCGGCAGCTACAGGTTACACCCAGGCCCAAGGGGATCTCACCCAATGGCCAGTGGCAGGTGTCCCCTCCAAGGACTGGGTCCCCCTCAGCCCTCCCCTCTTGGCTTTTCAGTTCAGCTGACTGACATGCAAATTAGTTTAATTATTTCTTCTTCTAAAATAAATTATATTTTGCAGTAGCTGCAATATGTTGTGTCAGGCAAAATTACATTCAATATTTTTAAACTAATTGATGCAGCCTTGAGGAAGGCTGATTGACAGCCCGGGGCTGAGCAGGCCTGCAGCCTTAACCGATTCCTAAATTAAAATTAAACGTGCTTTGGCCCGGTGCTTCCTCCTTGAGCTGCCTCACCATTAATCCGGGGAGGTGGCAGGTGAAGCCCCGGGGGTCTGAGGGACCTGCGGAGGCTGGGCAGCTCAGGGTGCCTCGGGGAGAGACCAAACTCGGAGCAGGAGAACTGCTGTGCAGTGGGGCAGGTCTCTCACCTTTGCTGGGCCTCAGAGTTTCTTCTGTATAATGGATGGGGGATTGGACTGGACAATCTGGAACTGAAACCTGTGGTTTTTGCTGACAGTTGTGGATCAAGCATCTCCTTTGTACCAAGGACACAGCATGAACAAGACAGCACGGTCTTGGTCTAGTGGCAGGGACAGACATTACTCCAGACTGTGATAAGGGCTGAGGGAAGAAGCTCAGGAGCTGCGAGAGCTTGGAGCAGGGATCTTGCCTGGTGGGATGCAGGATGTTTTTCCCAGAAAAACATGATATTTCTGTTGAGTCCTGGCAAGTCCTGACTGGGAAGTAATTGCATGAGGGGCAAGGGAAAGGAAAGATTGTCTCAGGCAGTGGGATCAGCACATGCAAAGGCCCTGGGGTGGGAGGGGAGGATGTGGATCTCTTCCAAGCAGGATCCCAGCCCCTACTAGAATTCCTCATTTGACATCTGGATCAACCTGAGTGGGCGTGGGAATGGGGCTGGGGCCCAATGGGAAGGGCAAAGGAGACGGGGCCTGGCCTGGTGCCCCTGTTAGGGCACTCCTATGAATGTGCTCCTCCCTGGAAGAATGGCAACAAACACATATTAAGCACGTGCCAAGACCAGGGTCTGGACTGCCCCATTTCGTCCTGTCAACCACAGTGGGAGGCAGGGACTGGGACTGTTGCTGTTTTACTGATGAGGAAACGGGCTCAGAGGGGTGAGATGACTTGCCCAAGGTCTCATAGGAGCTGGTACTTGAAACTGGGTCTGGTTTTAAAGGGGAGTTTTTAACCACCACATGGTGTTGCCTTTTTTTTGTCTTTAGCTGTCAGAATGCATCTTGCCTTCAAGGCCCTGAACAAATTTCCCCGCTTCCTCCAGGAAGCTCTCCTTGATTGCTCTAGGTTCTGGGCGATCCAAGGATAAGCCCAAGTCCGCCATGCCCACAGGGCCCCCCATGAGCATCCTGCTGTGGCCTCTCCAGCCTCATCGCTACTCCACCCTCCCTCTTTCACTCTGCTCCGAGTTTGCTCCTTTACCTCC